TACGTAAGGTACCTTGAGGCTAGTAGCAAGCAAGCTGGGGTGGGTTCAAAAAGTTCGGAGCTTGGGGCACTTGGACCACTCATGGGTCCGTCCGGAAGTTTCTATCCACAGTACAGGTTCGTCGACCTCCACAAATTGTGCACTTTTGCTCGGCGCAGGACCTGGAGTCTGTAGCTTGGTGTCGATATTGCACCTGGGGCGTGACAATTCCAGTGCCGAGTGACGCATGCACCCAACTGGAGCAAAAGACCCCAATAAGGCAAGAGGCTGTACTCGTATCTAACACAGGAGTGACAGGGCGCCGACCTAGGTGTGCCTGCCTCTGCCAATGTGCAAAACTCAGATCTTCATCGATTCTATTATACTACTTACATTCAAATATGACTGAAGGTATCGCCGAATAGCGGGGCACTCTACTCTCGCCCTGAGCTCTATCCACCATATACTCCGGCCAGCTTTGCGATACCATAAGTAGAGCAACAGAAGCGCCACAGGGTCCCTCTCTCGGAGCATGTCATAGAAGGTTCCACGTATGCTTAGTGTAAAGGCTACAGTTCCCCCTGTCGTAACCTCGCTGTCTGGAAGGCCCAATATCCGGCACACGGCATGCGCAGCAGAGAAATACGGATTGTTTCTCGGTGTCGATGACTCCTCGAGGTTACACACTGCAGCCAGTTCCTCTGGTATACCGTCTATTCCTGTCTCTGGCAATGGCGTCTGCATTTCATCAAAAGTCGCCGCCATGACCCGGAATAGGCTGTCGGGCCGCATCGGATCCATCAAGTTCCATAGTGACATCTTGGTCCTGACCATGGGCAACCACTCCAAGTCAGTGTTGGGCGACGATTTAAGAGGCCATGCTTGCTCTGGCGTGCTTGCATCGGGAGATGCGAAAGTTACGAGGGCTAATGCTGCCGCCGTGCCCCAGATGGCATCCTTGTCTTCGGTCTTGATGGGGTTTTCAAGTCGCTTGTTCAGGAGGACGGTGCTCTCGGACAGATGAAAACACTCTTCCACCGTGCGACGACAGTTTGAAGACCGGTTTAAATAACGGTCATAGGTGAGTGCCACAGCAAGAGAGGCATGCATTAAGAAGGGATGCTATAGCATATGCGTCAATTCGGAGGAAGACAAAAACCAACGTGCACGTTTCACACGGTACGGCTTGGTGGAAGGCGAGGCTATCGCGCGAAACTCACAGTGAAGGCAAGCTCCAGGAGCTTTCGATTAACCTGTGTCGTTGTAGCATCTCGAGGACCGACAAGACTTCTCCCAAGATAGCGAGTTATGAAGTCTTGACATCTCGTGTTCAACTGATAGGATGTAGATGCGTCAGCTGTCCAAACAGCGCTGGTGATGGGAGACCTGGGCTGTGCTCCCCTCCCATGAAGAATAGGGGGCTTTCCCGTAGCCGCGGCACCGGCAACAAGCTGCAAGTCGGAAACACCGGGTACGAAATTGCATAGTACCCCATATGATTTACATCTCTTGCACTGCGGTTTTGCTTCGTCGCACTAGATAGCCGTTATTAAAAGAGGGAGTTAGTATAGTGGTCACCTGCGTCAGACTACCTGTTCAGATACGCAAAACCGCGAGCGCTACCCACCTTGAGTTTTCGGAGCTTGCAGTTTCGACAGCCAAACCTAGATCTTCGCACTAACACAGACTTGCGCTTTTGCACATCGTCGACTGAATGTAAAGCCATTCTAATTAAGTTTATCAGAAACGTTTCGTACTTAAGCTCGACAGATTAAATTAACAAATAGACTTAAAAAGAAAAACTGGCATATGTCAATCTGACCTTCTAAGACTGGACCGGTAGAGGCCGAAAGCACCGGGACACCCACTTATTATTGATAATAATACCCGTTCACGATCATCTCATCGATGGAAGCTAACCCCTGTTCGGATACCTTACCCTTCGACGCTAACCATGTTTCGGGTGCAGAAGCATTTGATTGGATCATAGTTGAACGTCAAGCATTCTATCCGCAATTCGATGTCGAGATTCAGACACTAGACTGTCGTATAAGGAAGGGGTTCATGAGTCCGAGACGCGACAACTTCCATGCGCAAGTACATTAAGAAAGGATTCAAAAACCGGTATACAGTATGCTGAAGGAGGGAATAAAAATGTATAAAAGGATGGAGCACTCCCGTCCTCTTCTAGGGATAGGATTCTCACATAATCTCCTGTCTCCTAAACACCAAACTCTAGACTCGACCTGGTCTACTTGATATCCTCAGCACCTACCTTTAATCACACAAGACTGCGGCATCGTTTACATTCCACAAGCATATGTCACAATGGCCACTCATATCGCCGCCATATTCCCCGCCAAGGGCGGATCTTTCGAACTCCAAACTCGCCCAACACCTAAACCGGGCCCAGGCGAGCTTCTCGTCGAGGTGAAATCGGTAGCTCTCAACCCAGCCGATGTGCTCGTCCGTGACCAAGGCGTCCTCGTCTCGAACTATCCCACCGTCGTCGGTTTCGACATTGCCGGCCTAGTGGTCGAGATAGGCGAGGACGTGCCAGCCGAGATATTCCATCCGGGCATCACGCGCGTCGCTGCCTACTCGGCCTTTTTCTGGCACTCCTGTCATCCCGACTATGGCGCGTTTCAGGAAAAGTGTCTCGTGCCATGGCAACACGCAGTCTCCCTCCCCAATAATAATGACAATATCTCCTGGAACGAGGCGGCTACTTTGCCTGTTTCTGTCGCAGTGCCTTTGAATGCCTGGGATATTATGGGCGTTCCTTCTCGCACGGGAGGGGAAAAGGGACCCGAAGAAGTCCTGCTGGTTTGGGGCGCTTCTTCTAGCGTTGGCTCGATGGGTGTCCAGTCGGCAAGGGTATTGCGCGACAGACCCTCTTCTCCCTTCGCTGCCGTTTATGCTGTTGCTGGCGCGGCTAATCACGCATATGTCTCCTGGTTAGGTGCGGACCGCGTCTTTGATTACAAGGACCGGCAGGTCGTGGAGAATATTGTGGCTGCGGCTAGGGAAGATGGTTTGGTTGTTCGTCACTGTTTTCTTGCCATAGGACAGTTGGCCTTGGCTCAGGCCGTCCTTGGGGAATTCGTGGGAGAAGGGAATAAGGCTATGATCGCGTCTGCGCCGGTTATACCGCCTGATGTCGAGGTGGTGAGCGGCGTGGAGACGGTCTTTGTAATGCCATCTTTTGATGAAAAGGAGAGATTGGCGCAGTTTCACTCCTGGATGGGCCTGTGGTTGAGAGAGAATCTGGGAAAGGGGATTGTCAAGCCTAGTCCGGAGGTGAAGGTTGTTGGGAAGGGATTAGGCGCTATCAATGCTGCCTTGGACTTCCTACGCGGAGGAGTAAGTTGTTGTAAGTTGGTTGTCGAAGTCGCCGAGTAGAATAAATCAAAAATTTACCTGTTCAAGTCTTAAATCGCCGGGGAAAAGGCTGAGTTGGTTTATACATGGATATTGTGAAATTTGACACGTATATTAAGCCCCTGGGGTGGGAATGACATGTGAGATACTACCGACTTACATACCTGCCCCGGCAGCGGTCCTGAGATGAAAGTATTGGATACATCTCCAACAATGTCGCCAAATGCCGGCTTACCAAGCTACTGTCAGCATGCGGTCTGAACTAGGTTGTCTGAACTACATTTATTATATAGACGGGCATAAAAACAGCCTTCCGCCCATTATGAGTAGCAGGTATATGTCGATGTTAACTGTTTTATGAGTCAAACTTGTCTTCTTGTCACAGCGTCAACATACTCCCCAATCCAAAATAAATATCTTCATTAGAAAATTGCCTCGAGAACCATGGGCAGGCTGCTTTTCCAACCGATGGCAAGATTTGCTCTTGTCGCAACGTGGGCCATCTCTTTATTCATGTCGCCGGGGTGCTTGGCAAATGGTGCTGCCACTCGACAGGATGGCTCCTTGCGCGGCGACATAATCCTCAGCAACGGACAGATACATACCATGACCCATGGTGAAGAGGTGTATTCCGTCATAGGAATTAAAGGCGGCATAATCGTCTATGTAGGAGAAAACGAGGAGGATGCTCTTGAGAAATTCAAAGACAAGCCTAAGCCAACCATCATCGACCTCGACGGTCACATTGCAAGTTCAAGTTCTTTGGGAACGACATGGTGCGCACGGGCGGGATAGGCGAGTTCATCACGACCGACTATGCCGGCGGCCCAATTTTCACTTCAGCGGCGCAGCGTATCGCGGCTGCGGGATGGCGTCTCGAGGTACACTCTTTAACCGACACCGATTTTCAGACGCAGATACACACTTTCGAGGCCATCAACACCAACACCAGCGTCGAGGATCTCAGATGGGTGGTCGCCCACGTGCCGCAGATTACACCCGACTATCTGCAGCGTCTCAAGCGTCTCGGCGGAGGCGTGGATCTGTCCGGCTGGCAGTACCTAGCCGGCACGGGGCCGCAAGCGGGTCCTCCGTTTAAGGATATCATGACAAGCGGCATCCCGGCCGGGATGGGGGGTGACGGGATGCAAATCGCGCCGTTGAGCCCCTGGATCCACGCCTACTACGCTACGACTGGCAAGAATGCCCTAGGCGAGCAGATCAACACGGGCCAGCAGATCAGCCGGCAAGATGCACTTTATCTCTACACGCGCGCCAACCAATGGTTCTTGGGAGGGGCGGATGAGAAACGCCTCCGTTCCCTCGAGGTTGGCAGATTGGGAGATCTCGTTGTGCTTAACCATGACTACTTCACCGTCCCCGACGAGCAGCTTAAAAAGATACGGTCTATCCTCACGGTAGTGGGAGGGAGAATTGTTCATGACGTCGACCATAGTTTAGTCTAGCCACCTATTAGCAGCCCGACCAGCCAGCTCATTTAAGGCATCTGTTAGGAAAGGGTACCTAGATAGGCAACGCATCACGTGTGCCTTTACATGTTTGGAATGAGATGTGCGAGCGGGTTGCGACAAAATAAAACGAAAAAAAACAGAAGTGTCATCTTTGACACGACTTGGTGATGGACCGGTAGGGATTTGAACCCTAGGCCTCTCGCAAACGCTAGAAGGGATTTAATCCACTTCTAAATGCAAAGCGAGCGCTCTACCCCTGAGCTACAGGCCCAGTTGATTATGTCAGATATTGCTTTAAGTGCACTTATAATGGTAACATATGGGAAAAGTCCGCCATATAATGGTTGAAAAGGGAAGAAAAGATGACTATATTGCCCTATCTACTGGACTGATATTGAAACTACCTTAGGTAGACAGTCGCATTAGGTGAAACGCTTATCGCCAGGGTGCCAGAAATCGATTCCCTCGAATTAGTGATGGCTTGATACTGGTCGGTCCGTTCAAGTCGCAGACTTGCAGGTACCTATCTCCAGCGTGCCAAGGAGTTGCGAAAGGGGGTTCTTCAGGGTAAGCGTTCTCGAACCCATCTTACCCATCTTTTAATTACCCATCTCGTCCACTCTACCTGACCGGGAAGGTGGATCCTGATCCTGCCAGATTGCTCAAAAGCCACAAGTATATGCTACCTATAGTCACACAGACGCGATGTTGATGTCAGGAAGTAGGTGTACTTGGTTATACGAGTGATGTGCTTGGGCATCTCCACCCCGTCTATACCCAATACTGACGCTCCTCTTCCTGTTTCGTTCGCCCGAACCCTGCGCAACCAAGGAAGAAGGAAAAAAAAATAAGAAAAGGGAAAAACTTCGAGAGGACAGCGAAGCAAATCATCAGAGTCGAGGGCAATTGGTTGCCGTGTTTTCAACCGATACACAGCGACACTTGGTGCATAGTCATCATTTGTCCTAGGTGTAGCGAGCAGCCTTTGTTTTAAGCTGCCTGCATTGCTGGGGTTGTTGTTTGATTCTCGAGGGCAACCATCGCGCGAACGGCATAATGAAGTTCTCTACCCTCGCCATTGGCCTCGTGGCCCTGTTGACTCCCCTTTCCGCCGCCTGGTCCAAAGAAGGTATGTCAAAAGTCTACCCAAAACAGCTGTTACCCCGTTGTACCTCTTTCCATCTTTCGCATGCGCCCGCTTCTCTGTTCTTGCGGCTCCGATTCACACCTAACCCAACCCTCTTCTGTAGATCGCGAAATCTTCCGTGTCCGTGATGAGCTCGCTGCGCACGAGGGCCCCGACGTGACTTTCTACGATTTCCTCGGCGTCTCTGCCTCGGCGACCCAAGATGAGATCAACAAGGCGTACAAGCGGAAGTCGAAGGCCCTGCATCCAGACAAAGTGAGGCAGCAATTGATGGCCGAGCAGACGAAGCAAAACAAGGCCAAGGGGACTAAAGTCACCAAGCAGCCAAGCCAGTCGCAGCTCAAGGCAGCCATTAAGAAAGCGGGCGAGCGGCAAGCGCGGCTCGGCATTGTCACCAACGTCCTGCGCGGGTCTGGCCGTGACCGATATGATCATTTCTTGAAGAATGGCTTCCCTACGTGGAAAGGTACCGAATATTATTACTCTCGGTATAGGCCCGGTCTTGGCACGGTTCTGGTTGGCTGCCTTCTCGTCGGCGGAGGCGGATTTCACTATCTGGCCATGTATATGATCTGGAAGCGCCAGCGCGAATTTGTCGAGCGCTACATCAAGTTTGCCAGAAATGCAGCCTGGGGTGACAACATGGGTATCCCAGGCGTCGATGTTGGAACAGCAACTCCGCCACCGCCTCCTCCTCCTCCAGCGGCCGCAGACGACGAGCAACCGGCGATGGCGATGAATCGCAAGCAGCGACGCATGCAAGAAAAGGAGAGCCGCAAAGAGGCAGCCAAGGAAGGAAAGCGATCAAGCCGCACTCGAGGACGGGCCAGCGCACAAGCTAGTGGAAGTGCCACGCCTGTTCCTCGATCTCAAAGTGATGATGGGCCAACTGGCTCGAAGAAGAGAGTCGTGGCTCAGAACGGCAAGATCCTAGTGGTCGACTCACTCGGCGACGTGTATCTTGAACAGGAGGATTCTGACGGGAATGTCCAAGAGTTTCTGCTCGATGTAGGTTTACGTTTCCCCTTTCCCCGTATCCAGCTCCTATCCGATGATACTGACTAATTCCACTACCTATAGCCCAACGAAGTGCCTCCACCCACCTTCAAAGATACTGCGCTTTATAAACTCCCCGGTTTTGTCTATGCTCGCACTGTGGGTAAATTCTTGGGCTCGTCGGCATCCGCTGAGTACGCTGAAGACGAGGGCGCCGAGGATCTGTTAGACGATGACAATTCTTCAGAGTCTGCGATCCGGACTCCGTCTACAGAATCTACGGATGGCTTTGAGCTCCTCGAGAAGAGCGTGGAGGATTTGCCGAAACCCAAGACTACCGGTAGCCAGACGCAAGGCAGCGGCAAGGCGAAGAAGCGGAACAAGAAGCGGTAGTGAGCCCAGTTCATGCGACTCTCTATATAGTAGTAGTATTCTATAAGTGCCAACATCGTTATTGCGAACTGCCTAACGCCGGTCCTTTGGACAACATAAACTTGCCCAACTGAAGACGTATTTGTGGGCGTTTTTAGGGGCTCTCAAATCATACGTCTTCCGCAGTTTTGCCCCCCCTTAGCTTTCCCCTTGTCGCATGAATAATGCATCCAACAGTCAACAAGCATATGAGTATACAGTTGCCCGGGGGATAAGAATATAGGGTATGCAAATGGAAGATAGCAGCAAGGAGCTACAGACCGCCCCAGACAAACTTGTTAGAGACGAATAACCGCCTAGGAATGATTGGAAAACGTTGAATAATAGAGACCGGGGCCACGCGATCCCTGTTATGGAAGGTAGATGTGCCGCTTTGTTGTTCATGCCACAATATACCTATACACAATATTCACACCGATGTCTTGGAATTGGGCCTTGGCTGGTACTTGTTTACATGTAGTAGGTAGTTTACTTGTAGTACCTCTGTGTGAAAAAGACACCACATCAAGATACTTACACTCCATGTTCACTTTACTAGGTTGATGGTTTGACAGGTTCCTAATTCCCTATCTAACACATACTGACCTGTACTTATTAATCCACACATATCTACACATATACTCCATGTTTGTAAGCCTAGCCTAGCTGTATTATGTCTTGGGAAAAGACCGCTTCTATACACCTGGACTACCACTCAACCCAAAATTCAAACCAGCTTATAACCTGTAGGTTACGTATCTGTGACATAACTTGCGACTGAAAATATCATCATTTTTACTTATACGAGTATAGGAACAACTCTTGCTTCCTATGTTGTATACATTACCTATCATTGCATCTATGAGTACGTACCTAAAAGTGAGTATATGAGGTAATTGAGTTTTTCTTGTAACACGGCACCAGCTGAACGCGACACGTGTAACCGCTTCTTGGTCAAGGTACCTATGTGGGGGATGTTGCCTTCACATGGAATTATTTCCCTACCCGTCCCGCGTAAGGATGCAGCCCGCCCGCTGTAGGTGGGCTACAACACAACATTGTTGGTTGGGAGATCAAATCTCACACCGCATTCCAACCAATCGATTGGCTTTCCGATCTCCTCTGCCCCTTGTCCAGGCTCCTCTCCCACCGCAACCTTCTCCCTCCATTGCCCATGTATGTACCTATTAGTACGTGTACTACATTTTGTAGGTACAGCGTACCGTAGTGAGAAACCCCACGATCCGGCTCCTTAGACTACGTAGAGGTACCTGGACTAGCTTGAACAACAATTCCCTTCTGTCTTTTTTGTTTGTGTTCCCCCAGGATCTAATACCAAGGCATAGAAACGACGACAACAACAATCAGATAATGCTTTGACTAGGTACCCAGTCATTCGACTAACGTCAGAATTAGATCTTGCATTGTGCATCTGTGTTTGCCCTTGCTGCCCCATTTGGCTCGCCTGCAGCTTATTTGGTTGCTCTTTTGAATCGATGGTCCCTGTTCCTTCACTTTGCAACTGTCAAGTTTGATTCCCATCTTCGGCTTCCCACCTTCTTTGCAAACCTGGTGTGATAGGCTTGGAGAATTGCGATCCTTCCTGTGCATATCTCCGTGACCCGGGCTCAACGTGCCTTTAATCCGGACAGTTGCGGGCTTCATCCGCTTGCTAATAGCAACCTCTTCTTCCTTCCATCTTTGTCTCCTTTGGTCTTGTCATACCACACCACAATCGTTTCGTTTCTCCTCCTACTGCCGGCAAGCTGATCAACAACGTGGACCGTTGTATCACTGTTCACCGGTTTTTGTCACGAGTCACGAAGGCTATCCAGCCATATTCTGTCCTCGACGGACGGTATCGACTGTCTAAAACCAACTCGGCCGTTTCCACTTCCAGGTGATTTGCGTGAGCTACCACGCCCACCTGCCCCCCTCCAACCTAGGATACGATAACGCATGACGATTTGACGACGAATACAAAATGGCGGAACGATACGATGATACCAATGAGGCCTTGGATCCTGAACTACTCTACACCAAAGAATACTGCATTGGTTGGGATCCCATTGCTGCGACGGTCTAAGGCCTCTCGCTGACTTTTTTCTATATAGGGGGCGGTAGCTTTGGAAAGGTCTACAAGGGGTACTTTGTCCCATAGGTGGCCCAGACTGTGCGCGCAAGTAGCTAACCTGTGGAAAAAGTGTCGAGAAACGCACCGGTGAGGCCGTGGCAATCAAAGTAATCGACATAGAAAGTGCCGAAGACGAGGTTGAAGATATTATCCAAGAGATCGCCATTCTATCCGAGCTCCAGTCTCCATATGTCACGAAATACTACGGGTCCTACGCAAGGGGTGCCGAGCTATGGATTGTCATGGAGTACTGCTCTGGTGGGAGTTGCGCCGACTTGATGAAGCCAGGCATCATTGGGGAAGATTACATAGCTATCATAATAAGAGAGCTTCTTCTTGGCCTGGAATATCTTCATGCGGATAAGAAGCTCCACAGAGACATCAAGGGTATGGTTTCCCCCAAGCATTGTGCCCGATCTTTCGTCCTTTCGCCAAAGGTTTGGCTAACAGGGACTTGATGCAGCTGCCAACGTCTTGCTCGGATCCAACGGACAAGTCAAGTTGGCAGACTTTGGTGTTTCTGGCCAGCTCTCTGCAACAATGACTAAAAAGAATACCTTTGTTGGAACACCATTCTGGATGG